GGCCAAGTTTAACCCAGTCAGAACAGGGTCATAATTCATTATAATCCCGTCTCTGAGCAGATCAGAGCTTTTAGTTACATATCCTCCAGGAGCAATTTGAGATAAATTGACCCGTCCAAGTCCAGTGGGGAGGCCAAATTCAGATAAACAGCAATTGTTTGGGCTGCCAAGACTCTGTTTTCTGTCTGCCTTCGGTTTTGCTGGTACACTCAATGGTGAATCCAAACAGCCAGATTTGTGGACATTCTGCCGGTCCGTACTCAATTTAGCTTTCTCCAAGATTGAATCCTGCATGTTGGCAAGTTCCAGGAGCCGCAAGTGGCCCACGATTCTCAGAAATTGCAGCCAGCTTGCGGTTGAGTTCGTTAAGCACATGAGTCTGAGTGCGCGAAGCACAAATTAATCCTTCACATTAGGCTGTCAGCTTTACCATGGCCGAAACTGCTGCTGACGTCTTGCTAATTTGTCGATAGCCAAGGAATCCGCCGATTCCAAAAAGCAGAAACCCTGTTGTCATAAATCCAATAATGCACAGATCTTCTACGTCCTCCATGGACAGCAGAGACAGGCACATCATCTTCCACTCCCCCCAGAATCAATGACATACCCAGCTGCGTGTGTCGTTCAGGGCATGAGGGTTCTCCTGCACCCTGTCGTCTGGTGGAAAAAATTTTATCAATTGCGTTGAGGGACCAGCTGACCAAATCCATAATAATTTTCGATTCTGAAAATGTGCAAAAAGAGGCTCTGAGGTTGACGGGACAAGAGAGCAAAAAAAGCAGGAGGCAGGGAGGGAGGGAGGGTAAGAGCGACAGTCTTCGTCAAAAATGAAAGAGAGAAAGATTAACAGATGAGGTCAGGCAGGAATCCCCGTGGACTATGATGTTCGCAGATGACATTGTGATCTGTGGTGAGAACAGGGAACAGGTGGAAGAGAACTTGAAGAGGTGGAGGTATGTACTTGAAAGAAGAGGAATTAAAGTCAGTCGTAGTAAGACAGAGTCCATGTGTGTGAATGAGAGGGAGGAGGTGGAACAGTGAGACTACAAGGAGCAGAGGTCACAAAGGTGCAGGACTTCAAGGACTTGGGGTCCACTGTCCAGGAACATGGGGAGTGTGGTGAAGAGGTGAAGAAGAGAGTCCAGGCAGGATGGAGTGATGGAGAAAAGGTTCAGGAGTGATTTGTGACAAAAGGGTGTCAGCAAAGGTCAAAGGAAAAGTTTACAAGACAGTG